ATGAAGTGATGTGGCTAAACAAAAAAAACCTGTTTATAAATCTCAGAGAACATGATCTTTGTGACATGATGTAAACAAATTATAACAAAATACAGAAATAATATTAAAATGCTTAGTTTACTTTATAGTGTGAGTAATATTTGAGATTAATTAAACTTAGTTTGTTTCGCTACGAACATCTGAGATACTATCTCGGCATGACTTGACGGCATGACATGTTCACTCTATTAATATTTGTAAAATATAAAGTGTTGTTTAATATATCGTTCAAGGTTTTAAATTTTGGTAATTCTTTGACTTTAATAGTTATTAATACGATTTATTTTGCCAATATTTTCCCGTTGTCCTTTAAGGACAACCATATCCGCCGTTGCACATATATTATACAGGGTGTCTAAAAAAAAAAGAAGAGGTATGTCCAGTATAGGCATCGGACGTCGGATCGATGGTGACGATCCGTGCGTGTGACTACAGATGAATAGGCACTTAAGTATAACCTTATAACATGGCACGGTATGTACCGTCTGTAGTCAGATGGTGACGATCCGTGAGTTTCAATACAGATCGTAGGCACTTAAGTATAAAATGTTACGATATGTACCATCTGTAGTCAGATGATGGCTACGATCCGTGATTATGAATATGGATGGCTAGGCACTTAAGCAGGGGCAAAACTTGAGGGGGGAATTTTTTTTACCCTTAATTTAACTGGTTTATGTCCGGAAAAATTTTTCGACCCTTTTTTTTTTGGTAAAAATATTTTGCTGCAGGGCACCATCGGTTTTGGCAGGGCAATTCTGGCAGATACCCCCAAGAATTAAAAGGGGCTAGTTTCGCCCCTGCACTTAAGTATAAAATGTTACGATATGTACCATCTGCTGTCGGATGGTGACGATCCGTGAGTTTGAATACAGGTGGTTAGATACTTGGAATGTAATGCTGAATGATATTGTTCTCGTAAGACGCTACAGATGGTTAGGATGGTACAGATCGTACGGACCGTGCCATCTGCTGTCGGATGGTGACGATCCGTGAGTTTGAATACAGGTGGTTAGATACTTGGAATGTAATGCTCAATGATATTGTTCTCGTAAGACGCTACAGATGGTTAGGATGGTACAGATCGTACGGACCGTGCCATCTGCTGTCGGATGGTGACGATCCGTGAGTTTGAATACAGGTGGTTAGATTCCTGGAATGTAATGCTGAATGATATTGCTCTCGTAGGACACTACAGATGGTTAGGATCGTACATACGTGCGGACCGTGCCATCTGCTGTCCGATTGTGACCATCCGTGAGTTTGGATACAGATGGTTAGATACTTGGAATATAATGCTGAATGATATTGCTCTCGTAGGACGCTACAGATGGTTAGGATGGTACAGATCGTACGGACCGTGCCATCTGAAGTCCGATGGTGACCCGTGAGTTTGAATACAGATGGTTAGATGCTTGGAGAGGCTATAATACATCGATATACTCGCATTCGAGCGTATTTTTTCTGCGGCTTTCTCACTCTTCGAGTAGTGCTGTGCGCCGAAGGGCTGGAGCCGGAGTATTGGCCTATTTTGCCGGAGCTGGAGTTTGTTCAACTCCGGCAGCACTTATTTGTGCTGTAAACTACTGTTGGACATCGGCGAAAAAACCTGAATACTCGCGCATTGCTACTGTGTAGGCTTGCCACAAACATAGTACGAAACGTTCATGCGAAGTGTTAAAATAAAAAACAAAGATAGAGCTTTGGAATGTGAAATTTCCATTAAATTTCGAATTTTCACGAATTTGGCAGAGCTGGAAATTTTCTGCCGGAGTTTTTTTGGCCGGAGCTGGAGCCAGAGGTGAAAAAACCGGAGTTTGCACAGCACTATCTTCGAGCTCAAGGTTGTGTAGTGTTAAAATCAAAAACAAAGATGGAGCTTTGGAATGTGAAATTTCCATTGATTTGATCGAAATTTTTATTAGAAATCCAAACATGCATGCCATCTATTAAGCATGGTGGGCACAAGACACAAAATATACGATAGAGATATCTTTATATTGCAAAAGCGTTTCATTTTCGTATTGTAGCGTTTTATTTTGAAAAACCCCAGCTCAAATAACCCTGTTTCTCGGAATTCCAAAAACTAAAGCGTGTCAAAATGATTTTTTGTTGTTTTTCTTTTCGTTGGGGGAAAGATTCAGTTTAAAAACTCAATCCAAGATTGAGTTTTGACCTCCGTTTAGCGGAGGTCAGTTGCGGTGCTTGGATAAAGCCCCGATATTGGAGACCTTACGATTTTAGGACGGCAACGGCTAGATCATAATGATTTTTGAGACGTTCTCTGGTTGAAAATTTTTTATTCACGAGCTTTCGGTTGCCAGACTGCAGCCTTCAACGGGTAGTTAAGGCTGCAGTCTGCCAACCGAAAGCTCGTGAATAAAAAAATTTCAACCAGAGAACGTCTCAAAAATCATTATGTTCAATCCTGGTCGCACTTCCAGCATATTTAAACGGTTAGATCATTGAAAAGAATTGAGTAATTACAATATAGAAATAATTTAGACATTGTCCTCGCTCTGTTCAACGCCATGCAAATCACAGATTTTCACGTCTTGATACAACGGCTGCATTTCAAGCCGTAACAAGTGCAATTTCAAACTGGGTTTAGCAGAACTCTTCCCAACCATAAAACCCATGTCTTCAACTTCTAAAACTGTATTAAATTCATACGATTGATAATATACCACGAACTTTACTACCATTTATTTGAAGGAGTTTGTTTTGGCCGTCGCGTTGCAGTCCTAAAATCGTAAGGTCTCTATTCTGTGATTGCGTGCCACCAGAGGTTCCTTCGCAGGTGGTCCAGCCTCTGTGTGAGTATTTATTTATTTTTTAATTGTATTATATTTTGCATTAAACATGTAAATTATAAAGTATAACTTACTTAGTTTCCTTTATGTATTATGTGCGATTTGGGGTGGTTTTAGTTTGATATGATGACACACTTTATATATTGTAATTTGTAAATATATTACTGCAGTGCTAATGTTTACTGTGTCATTTACTTCACTCTCGTCAATTTTCAGGCCATTTCGTTGAACCCGGCCTTATATTAGGGCCATTTATACGGGACAAAATAAGTCGCGACTTACATAAGACGCGTCTTATATAAGCAGAGTTATCGCATAAATGGTTCTCTACGGCTTTATTCTTATTTACTTGCTAAAGCTATGTTGTTGTTTCGGTTGTTTTTGTTTTAATATGCAAGGCTAATAATTTTACGTTGTTTCAAGTTTCGGGCATGTGTAGATAGACTTTTTGTCCAAAATTTCTTATTTAAGATGCGACTTACATAAGAACAGCTAAAAGTCCTGTTCTTATGTAAGACGCGTCTTATCCAAGATCGACGTGTTTTACATAAGAATTTTGTACCTTTTATACGACAAACTCGCGTCTTATATTTAAGTCGCGTCTTATTTTGTTCCGTATAAATGGCCCTATTGTTTCAACCTCGCAAGCAAGGGCCTCCATGTTAATAGATGCTATTAACTGCATGTTAATAGATTAGGAGGGTTGAGGAGAAATATTTTAACGAGAGGTGCGGTTACGAAGTTCGAAACGTTTTTAACGGTTTGGTTCCAGGGCAGATCAACTCACGAGTTCGGAGAAAGTACTTTAGTTTACATTAAGTTGTTCTAATTCTTCAAGGAAAAGCGAGGGAAAGGATTTTACAAGTTAGCAAGATTGAATAAACATAAATATGTGTAGCCGCTTTAGAAGTGTTTGGCAATATTTTATCGGCGAGTTTTGTTGAAATTTAGGTCTTGCCCAAGTTCACCCGGCGTCACAGCTACCTACTGTACCTTTCCGTTAAGGCCGGCGCACACTAGAGCTATGTGCTTAGCAAAATGTCATTCGTGACTGTTGGCGTAAAGGCCGGCGCACACTGGAGCTATGTGCTTAGCCAAATTTCATTCGTGCCCATTGGCGTAAGGAGATAGCTCTCGTGTGCGGGAGATTTACGAACAACTTTTGTCATTCGTGCCACTTACGCCAAATATCAAACACTTACGCCAAATATCAAACATGTTTGATAATTTCTGCCTCGCGTGCCAAAATCTTTCCGTGTGCGGCGAACGAAAGCCTTTTGCTTACGGATTGTCTTAACAGCGCATGCGTAGTATACGAAAGTAAACATCCAAGATGGCGGCGCAAAATGAATTGCTGGCCGAGGCAATTTTAGAGGACAAACTTACTGGCTATTTCTTTCACCGCACATTCCCTTTTGTCCCTATTTCTAAAATCTGCAGAACTCACATCGTATAAACATTTGTATTCAGTTTGTCCTCTAAAATTGCCTCGGCCAGCAATTCATTTTGCGCCGCCATCTTGGATGTTTACTTTCGTATACTACGCATGCGCTGTTACGACAATCCGTAAGCAGATAGCTTTCGTTCGCCGCACACGAAAAGATTTTGGCACCCGAGGCAGAAATTATCAAACATGTTAGATATTTGGCGTAAGTGGCACGAATGACAAAAGTCGTTCGTAAATCGCCCGCACACGAGAGCTATCTCCTTACGCCAAAAGTCACGAATGACATTTTGCTAAGCACATAGCTCTAGTGTGCGCCGGCCTTAAATACTTTACATGCAATATATAGGCCGAGTACGGTTCAACGAAATGGCCTGAAAATCGACGAGAGTGAAGTAAATGACACAGTAAACAAGTCAGTCCACCAATATTTTGAATCGGAGCCTATTTATACATTTTTTACAATATTTTAAAATATATAATGTGTATATTATATTGCATATTTGCATTCTCATGTTTTTTATATCATTATATCAAACTAAAACCACCCCCAAATCACACATAATACATAAAGAAAACTAAGTAAGTTATACTTTATAATTTACAGTACATGTTTAGTGCAAAATATAATAAAATTAAAAAATAAATAAATAAATACCCACAGAGCCTGGGCCACCAGTGGTTCCTTCCGCCGCTCCTTCGTACAAACATACGGCGGCAAGAACCTCTAGGACCAGGGTAACCAATGGATCACACACGCCAGAGTCCATACAGCTCACTGATCAAAATAGATGAAATCATCAAAAAATGTAAACTGGAATATCTTCTATTCCTAGCCAGAAAAACGTATAGCAATTTTAATCAACTAAGGCTTCGATTTAGGAGTTCTTTCACACAAGTACGTATGTTTACAAACATAAATAGACCTTATGCATAATTACGTCACAAGGCTTGATGCCCGCGAAGAATGCTGGTTTTGGTAGTCATCGCCAGGGAAAATTAAACAATTCAAAATGGCCACTATCGAAATTTTCCCGGGCGATGACTATTAAGACCAGCATTCCTCGCGGGCTTCAAGCCTTGTGACGTCATTATGCATAAGGTCTATTGTTGTTGTTAGAGATACAACTATGTGAAAAATATAAACAGAACTTGGGCCTTTCGAGCGAATCCCTTCGTCGGGAAGTTAGTTGGGACCGCTGGTCGCAGGCACATCACAAATACTCGAAGTAAGTTGCTTGCAGGCTCATTTTCCAAAACTTTTAGAAACAGAAGATCAAAATAGACTTATCTTTAACTAAACGCAGTGATGATAAAGGCCTTTAGTCACTATTGATTGTAGTAAATTTTATTGGAGAAAATACACGAGGTCACGAAGGACTGAGCCGGATCAGCCAATTATAGAAATTCGCGGCCCATCACGTCTTGATTTCGCTTTTTCGTGCAGACTAAAGGCTCCGATTACAAATACATTTCGCGGTCTCGGGTACACAAAAAAGATATCAACCCTAAAGCGAGTGGCCTAACTACCGGACAAGGGCCTTGGCTTGCAACTTTGAAGTTCATATAATATTTGCTAGCTATGGCCCATATCATTAACCCTGCATTGTAAACAGTTAAAAATGAATCTGAGATAACCAATTTTTTGGTTGTTTTAACAAATTTGTATTTTACAGTGTTATGACTCTAAGATACAGTAACAGTGAAATCCATCAGTGCAGGATTTTTTCTATCAATCAGCAAACCCAAATTTAATAAATAGTGGCGTAATTTTGTGTGCTATAATGGCCCATTGGCCCCTCATCTTCAACTGAAAAGGGGGGAACTCTGTCTTTCATACTTCGTTAACTATTGCAACTTTGCATAGAGTATTTTTATGAAGCCGTTTTGAAATTACCAATTATTACACGTCAAAATTTGGAACATATAATATATAAGAGCCTCAAGGCTCTTGCCAGGCATAGCCCTTTGGAGTTACGCCACTCACTGTTAGTTAAGGTTTAAGTAATGGTCATTTTTAATTGCTAGCCAGAAGTGGAAAAGTTCTTTCTTATTTCCTGGAACCTTTATAGCTAGTTACAGTCTTGCATGATAACAAAAACATATTTCCCACTGCAGGCTATATGAACATTGAACATTTTCGTTCCGAACTGTTCCGCTGTAATTTAGGTATTGAGGTATTCAATCACTTCAAAAATCAGGTACTAATAGTAAATTAGATATTCAATCAATACAATTTTCAAAATTAGCAATCAAACATAAAAAATGACTGAAATTTTTTGCAAAAATGTAGACCCCCCAAACATTTCTAGGAACTGCATTCACAAGTTACGAAACCTTTTCCACTTCTGCCCTCAGCTTGCTGCGAGACACTGCGTTCGTTCGATGCAAGTTAAGGGTAAACACAACAAATTCAATCAATCAATAACTAAAATACCAACGTACAGTACATATGTATAGCGGCACATGCAAAAGTGTCACTTAAAGGTTCTTCAGCTGAAAAATCATGATACATGCAAACACAAACATGAAATTATTCAAATGACAAACCACTGCAGAAGAGGGGGTATGGAATTTTCCAATCGTCTGACAACTTGCAGCATGACACACACTCGTACACGGCTTTCCACCAATACATTTCTGGACGCATTTCTCGACAGTTTTAGCACACACCATTTTACATCCTTCTTCGCAGCTTAAATTACACTCTTTAAATCCATCGCCGCATGAAAGAGTAGTCTTCCCGCAATCACCCGTGCACGTTTTTGTACAGTTCCCTGTCCGTTCGTCACACAAGTTTTTGGTTTTTGGTTTTTCTGGCAGCCCATTGCAGATTGAGTTATTATTACACGATAACTGACAATCTGTTGTGCCATTATGGCAAGTTATGTTACACGTTGAATTAGCTTCACAAACCTGTTGGCAGGTTCTAACAGTTGAGGCACATTCCATATGACAGAAATCTGCTTTACACGATTGCTTACAGATAGGTGACGAGCAGAACATCCTTTCGGTTGTACAGTTGGTGCAAAACTGGCTACAACTTGTAGCCGTTTTATCACATGTCATTCCAGAGCACGTTCTACCCAAACATCCTTGAGTACATTCCTTTGTATTGCCACAACTAAATGCTGGGCAGTTGACCGAAGTACAAAATCGCGCACACATATTTTCATCACAAGCAGATGCTGTACAAATAAAGATAATACAGAGTAAAGCTAACGTTGATGCCACCGTATTCATGTTGAAATGTATGGTAATCTAAAATTAAATGAAAAATGTAGAATTGTTTAAAGACTTTAAACACGGTACAGAAGCAGCGTGTAACTTAAAATTCTGAGGAAGGACCCAACCATAACTCTTTTCGTTTTTCCCAAGTTTTCCCATTGTCCCAAAGCGATGAAGAATTATCGAGCCAAAAGTTTGTGTTATCAACCGAAGCCGAAGGCTGAGGTTGATATGACAAACTGAAGACTTGATAATTCGTCTATTTGGCGAAAACCGAATTCAATTTAATTGTTTTATTATTTATTTCAGCTGTTGTGTACATATGACGATGTCACAATTGGCTGTTAGCCAATAAAAGATTCATGGTTTCCGATTGGTTAACAAACAAACTGTGAAATCGTCATATCATCTCAATACAGCTAACCAACCATATTCAAAGGAGTGACGTCATATTCGCTGAATATAAAAAATGGGCTGTATAAGGTGTAAATTTATTTTGTCAAAAAGTTTCTGGTCTTAGGATATAATACTACTGTCAGTACATAAAAAGACAATGTCAATTAATGATGTAAACATCCGCATCTGCATACATAATGAGCTACAGCTAGTACAGGATATTAACTTGCTTGATACCAAAGTCAAACGAACTTTATGCGCAATGGCATTCCTAAGAGTTTTAACGCGTTTTTAAATGAATACATAATAATATATATGCTGGGTTGCCTACGACATTGCTGTATAAATATGGCATCAATTTTACAGCATCAATGATAATTGTATTTCAATTGACAATATTTAACTATCATTTTGTGTTTCTCAACAGCCAGATACAATTAAAAAGGCTGCTAGTTGTGAAAACTACAAAATAAAGCTAAAACAAAGCAATTTTGAGAGCAACGCCAAAACGATTTTAGGTTTTGAACACTTTAAATTTCATCGCAAATACGCGACATTGAAAAAAATTGCCTCGTTTTAATAATAAATAGTTCTTCAAACATTCTATGTTTTGTCAGACATAACTCAAAAAGCCCTGTTTTAGGGACCGGTCAT